GGGTGTGTAGGTGTGGGTGTGGGTGTGGGTGTGGGTGTGGGTGTGGGTGTGGGTGTGGGTGTGGGTGTGGGTGTGGGTGAGGGTGTGGGCGTGGGCGTGGGTGTGGGCGTGGGTGTGGGCGTGGGCGTGGGCGTGGGTGTGGGTGTGGGTGTGGGTGTGGGTGTGGGTGTGGGTGTGGGTGTGGGTGTGGGTGTGGGTGTGGGTGTGGGTGTGGGTGTGGGTGTGTGGGTGGGTGTGCGTGTGCGGGTTCGTGTGCGCGTGCGCATGTGCGCATGTGCGCATGTGCGTGTGCGTGCGTGCGCGTTCGCGCGCGTGCTTGCGTGGTGTTTTTGTTCCCGGCTTTGTCTCTGCAGGACTATTGGATCCTTTGCGCAGAAAGCTCTTCACATTTGGAGTGGCAGACGGTGGGATTTCTCCAAGATTCCGAGGTCGGATTGAACAGAGGGCCGGGGTACGGGCAACTGCGAAGCGTAGAGCGAGTGCGAGGAGGTCCCAGAGCCGGTCTGCGACGCGGAGGGCCGAAGCCCTGCAGCGGACGTGTTGCGCCCTGGCTGCTGGCAGAATCTGGCCGTACTAGCGGTCTTAACCTAGAGGATGCGTAGAGGCAGCTAGAGAAGCTACAGTAGCAGTATACGAGCGGATTTTGAGACTGAGTCTTGTGAATCACAACGTACAATGCAGGGAAAAACCGCTTGTGGGAGAAAAACCCTGCACGTAGAAACAGAAACTGGACTACAACCAGTCTTGTGAGGCGCTATGCCGTCCATTTCCTGAGACCCGAGAAGTGCTACCACTTCGCAGTGGAGTGCCGTGGATCAGCTCAGAGACCGAGAGCACAGAGCGAAGGCGCAGAGGCTCGCCGCTTGTGCGCCTTCTTCGCCTTGCGAGGCTACTCGGCGCTTCCCTCCCTCCTGGCCGCCTCGGCGACGCTTCGCCTCGAGGGAGAAGAAGCGACGCTGCGCTCGCGCCTCCCCACGCGAGCGCTGCCGAGCGGGAGCGCAGTGGCAGCCTGTCCCTCGAGAAGCGTCCCATGAACGCATGGGCGCGGGCGCGGTGGCCCCAAGGTCGCAGAGGCTCGCTCGGAGCTCTGGAGACCAGGCCCGGCAGCTCAAGGCTCGGCCTTTTCGGCACGTGTCGCGAAACTGTCGCGTTCAGGTGAAGCCTGGCATGAGCCCTGAGAGCCATAAGAGTCTGAGAGCAAAGTCTCTCCCAGTGCAGCAAGAAGCTGCCCTTTCCCCGTTAATGTAACCGTCCTGCTCGCACAAGAAGTGCAGGCAGAGGTTCACCCGAGTCACCCGAGTTCAGGCACTTGCAAGCATGCCTGAGCCTTGTCCTCGGCTTGCGTACACCTTCTTGGGTTTGCTTAGACAGGGCCTAAAAGAAGAATTCCAACAAAAAACTTTCTGAGACTGGAGTTGGCTGACGCTTCATGATATCGTAGCATCGTCGCGTGGCAGCCGCAGGTACAGGAAATTGACAGAATTAGCTTGTCTCGAGCTGAGTCGCCTGCATTAGAGCAACTCGCGTACATGAGAGGCCAGTAGATGCGTGTCCTCAGAACGCAACCCAGTAACACATGGGTCGAATCATGGGTTGAACCGAACCTCGAAGCCTCGCAATGGCTGAGCAGGCAGAGACATGTCTAGGCTGTTTGTTATGTGAAAGACCAAAGAGACTGCGATGCAGGCGTGCACGCAGTGCCCGGAAAAGGACCGTGCCCGGAAGAGGAGGGCCCTAGATCGAGAGAGGCTTTGGAGAGCTCGCAAGGAGACATGGGAGGAGAACCTGGCCCTCAGGCAGGGGGCGGGTTTTTTTCAAGGGGCCGGGCCGGGGCACAGATGTTTCTGGGGGTTCACGTCGAGGAGGCAGCTGGCAGACGTCCATCATCAGTGAGAGTCTCAGAGTTCACCGGCGGGCACCAGTTTTCTTGAAAGATATGTGTGGCCGCGTGGCCCGTCGTCGTGGAGGCTGCGGAATCTGAAGGAGAACTATACGGAGGAGCTCTCTTTCTGGAGGCTGGGTCGGCAAGGCCTTCTCGCGGCTTCGCCGTCTCAGAGTCTCAGGAGGCGGGCGCTGGAGCTGCAGCTGGAACTCACGGCGGTTTCCCCGGCCGGTGGCTCATGCCTGTGCGCAAGCCTTTGAGATGCAATCTTCGGCCGCTGGCTTTGTAGGTTCAAAGACGTACACCAGGCCGTGGTAAAATGGGGGATAGAGCATCGAGGGAGCGACGGGACTGCTGCCCGCGCAGAGGCGCGAAGTCCAACGGAGACGCGCTGCTTATGTCCGCTTCGCAGGAGGCGTGGAGGAATTTTGAATTGGCGGTTCCTCGTTTTTTTTCGTGGGAGCAGGACTCGCAACGGCAGGCCAAGCAGGTTGCCAAGCAGCTGGAGGAGCTCTGGGCCGGGCCCCGCGTTGCATGGCAATTATTGCATGCAAAGGCAAAGGCTCTAAACCCCTTGGATCTGATTTGGGCGGGGTTTCTGTCCGGCAGAGCTTCGCAGTCCTAGGCCGTAGACTTTCCAAGCGGCAGCCACGCCACATGTGACAAGGGATCGAGGTTCATCGCGAGTCGAAGATTCGTGTTTACCACGAGCCGTCAATCCACATAATGAAGACGAAGCTTCGACAGTGTACAGATTTTGACGAGTACTCCAATGGTGTTCTAAATTAGAGCAGAGAAGGTGGCCTTCTGATGACTGCCCAGAGCAGGATCTGCACATCAAGACGTTGGGTAGATGCAGTGTGGCTTACATGTATAGGCTTGTCCCTAAACCCTAAAACCCGAAACCCCTGAACCGTAAACCGCTGAACACGCAGGAGATCGAGAGTAAGACCGCCTTCACCAAGGCCTCTGAAGTGAGTCTTGCTCATGTTGTTGGCTTGCTGCTACTGTTTGTGATTGCGCTCTCTCTCTCTCTCTCTCTCTCGGGAAAACCTATATGCAAATGAGCGAAATCCACAAAACACGTCACAACAGCCAACATTTAAAACAATCAAGTTACTAAATGGCTATCTACTGCTACAGTTACTGCTGCCAGTGCCGCTACGGCTGCGGCTACTGCTACAGCTACGTCTACCGCCGCTGTTGTTGCTACGTACTGTTATTGCTACGGCTACTACTACGGCTGCAGTTTTTGCTGTGATTATTGCTACGGCTACTGTTGTTGCTATACTACTCTACTGACGACTGAGTCCACGAGCTAAGGCCAGCAAAGAGGAGGCGGAAGCGAGACTGGTCCGGCGCTGGTGCCGGCGGCGGGCGGTGTCGGAGAGAGACTTCGAAGTCCCAGGCGCAGAGCGAGCTGCTGTCGGAGCAACTGAAGGACCAAGCCTCTCAACAGGCGAGAGCAGAGCTTTTTTCAAGAGAGCTGCGTATATAGCGACATCGCGAGGCCGTGGAGCTCCTGACGCGGGAAGGCCTGGGGCCGGCGGAGACCTTCGCGCCCAAGGCTTATCAAAAAAAAGCTCTTATAAGCAAAGCGCAGCAGCAGTGCAGTGCAGACACGTTGACCGTGGCAGAGCGCGGAGCGCGGAGCGCAGAGCGCGGAGCCGAGGCGCTCCCTTGGTGAGGTGGAAGCTCCCACGCTCCGCTGGGCCCGGAAACCCGGCCGAGCCCGAACTTGCGCTCAGAAAACCCGAACTTGCGCCACTCAGAAAACTCCTCTTCTGCTTCCTGCTTCCTCTCGCTCTCTCTCTCTCTCTCTCTGAGGCCCAGCATCAGATCGAGATGCGCTGGCGGCAGCTGGTGCCGTCCTGAGCCTTCGGCCTCTCGGCCCGTCTGCACTCCATCTGAGCGCGCCTCCTCTTCGCGCCTGGGGTCGCGCACGCGCCTGACCTGAAAATCAAGGCGTCGGCGTCGAGGAAGGGCAGTGGAAAGAGCGATGCCAGATGGAAAAGATGAAGTTCAAGCTGCTCTGCTCTGCTGTTAGTAAAGGAGAGATGTGCCGTCCTTCTTCCATCCCGATTTGCTCTTTGAGCACTGCGATGCGACTCGAAGCAGCCCGAAGATAATGACCGTACTCCTAGCGACTTTAGCATCTCCGGTCCAAGTCTGCGTCCGTAGGGTCGGGTCCTGTGCCGTAGTCGGCGTGCCGATGCGAAGGCATAGTGTAGTAGTGTAGCTTTGTCGCAAGAAGATCTTCCCTTCTGAGCACATCATATGCCTCCACGCCGAGTCTCCGAGCCACAACACTTCGCAAGCGCGCACGCAATGGTGCCAGTTCCTTGGGAGTGCATTGGGCTTTGTGTCCTGACCTACACGATGGTCCACGTCTCCTGCCAGGCGGAGTGCAGCGCTTTCCTACAAAGCCTTTACAAGACTAGACTCAAGCGCGCTGGCTTATCACGAAAGCTCTTTCCAGGGAGCCTTTCGTCTCAAAAGTCAGAACTTGTTCTGCCAGAAAGCTTAGGTGGTATGGGGGGGGGACCCCCCAACAGGTGGCCACTCCGGGCCCGGTTTTGCAGCCAATCCCCGTGCTATGCAGGGATTTAGGGTGTCCCGGGTGGGTGGGTCCCGCAACGACACTCCAATGGAGAAACGAGCCCCCGATGATGCTCGTGATGTTTGCCTAGCGGCGCCCTGTGATGCTCCTGATGCTCGCCTGCCGGCGCTAATCGGGATGCCTGGATGCTCATGATGCGCTTAGCTTCGTTGCGAGGCTCAGCTTCTTGTGTGTGCTTCGAGCTACACCCTCCAACCCAGAGCTTTCGTCACCTCCCCGCGGGTCTCAAGTCTAAGGTTTAAATCGTCTGAGTCTCGATTAGTGCGGCGCACATAAGGGACCCCCAGGACCCGCCAGGAAGGCCGTAGGTGCCTCTGGGTGCCTCTGGCAGGTGATCACCTGCTCTTTGCCCTTCTTGCCGGAGGACGCAGACTTCCAGGAGAGCCGCAGCCGCGGGGGAGCTCTCACAGCCACACTGTCAGGATGCAAGCAGGAGTGTAGAGACTGTGAGTATCGATGGCTAGCCCTCCAAATCACAGCACGATGACTCCTCAAACCGTCTGATGCGAAATGTCGCAGACAGAGCTCTCTCAGGTTCTCTGCTCGTTCCGGAAGGCTTCATTGCTGCCCCCTTTCGTGAAAGAGTGCTCTTTTCGTAAGCTTCGGCTGAGCATGAAAGTGGACGATCTTGATTCTGAAGATGTTTACAAACATGAGAGCTCTGCTGCCCCCGTTTCGGCGCAAAACCGGAATTTGATGTTCCAAAACCGAGTTCGCCTAGTGCGTGCCGACACGACTACGAGTGACTACGACTACGATGCAACACAGGGTTGCTCAATTTGTCCAGAAACTGTCACGCGCCCATTGATCAACCAAGAAGAGCGTGGCTTGGCTTCTTGTCGTTGCGCCTTTGGAGGAGGAAGACCAAAACTTTACCACACCAACACAACCCAGCAAAGCAAGCTTTGGGCGACTACCATGCCATGAATATGCAGCTTGGCAGTGCCGCATCTTCGCTTTCCGGCGCAGAAGGCAACTGTTAAAGTGCAGGGAGCGGAAGTGTTGATGTAGCCTAGCACGAGCTGCATGATTGAAGCCTTCTTGTTCATGCAGCCCCTGCGCAAGCATGATGCCCTGCGATGCCAGGTCGTCTTACCATAAATCATGCCAACATCATCCTGGCTCAAGCATCTGGGAAAATCCGGATTGGGGGTAGTTTGGAAGCCCTCCTCCGAGTACCCTGGTCCTCCCTGTCCCGGTACCCTAGTCTCGAGCCCCGGTTCAGGGTGTGCGAGGTCTGACTGACGTCCGGCTTTTTTTTTAAGATGGTTCTACATAATGACCTCTCCTCTCTTATTCGCACCACAGTGTCATCACGGAATCCAGCCCTGACCAACAAGAGGCTAATAAGAGCCCAAGCGTTCCGAGCTACAGCTCCGCAGAACTTCAGCATCAGCAGCAGCGATCTTCACTTGGTGTTTTTTGCCAGGATTTGCAAGTCGAAGATGTCAGCGTGACAGCGTCCGGGGCAGAATTTCTTAGATCTGCTAATGGTGATGTGGTCCGAATGCTGATACGTCATTGGGGTATTGTCGCTATGACTGGCATGGATCAACTGCAGCAGAATCTTGAGGGTCCTTCGTCATGAGATGGGGCGCCGGACAAATTTGCTGGGGACTGGTCTAGCGACGACTGTTGCTTCATTAAGCAAAGCCGCCAGGCTTACGGCCAAGCACACGAGGCATGCAACGCTTTGACTCGTCAGATGAGTGGGATGTCTACTGCTGTGAAACATGTGACTCAGAACGTTGAGGACGGAGAGGGGCAATTCTTTCTTCAAGACGCGGTGGTTAAGCCGATGAATGAGATTGCGCTCGTGTGGCTGCTTTGGAAACTCAGGGCTTATGGCTGGAGGGGACTGGCCGGAAGCTGAAGGGAAGACTTTCTTGAAACAACATGAGCTACAACCCATAAGACATCGTTGGGTACACAGGTGTTGCAAGCGCACATTGACAGATCAATGAACGAGCCCATGAAGAGAAGATCGGGTCCCCTACGCCGTAGGCGCGTAGGCGCGTAGCCATGAACGTGCGGTTGGAGAGAAGATTTTTAGGCAACTTCGGGAACGCGACGAGGAGATCCAGGGTCTCTTGAGTCACCGAGAGTAAACCAGTATCGAGCGGAGGAGGACCGCAGGCCTTCAGCAATTCAAACCGAGGGGTCTGAAGATGATGAATTTGTGGGAGGGATGAGAAGCCAATCGGATCTTGAAGTTCTGGAGAACCCGACGGAAGGAAGGAAGAAGACGGAGAGCCTTTGCAGAATGAAGTCGGGGCCAGCCCAAATGCAATGTATTTTTGGTTGGAATTTTTCGCTTCTTGGAGAGGAGGGCTGGAACACGTCGGATTGCGGCTTGGTGCTCGGTTTTGCGGCCCTCGCCGCAGCGCTGGGCTACGGGGTCCACGGTCCGCTGATCGACCGCGAGCAACTCAGGGAAGAAACTCCTTCGCCCGAATGCCACAGACGGACATGGCACCTCTTGCGGTAGGCTTCGGGGTCGTCTTTGGCCTTTCTGTCGCTCTGGGAGGCCAGGCAGTGGACCCTCTTTCTGTTTATCGCGGATCGCGCTTGTGCAGGCTGCAGCTTGGGCGTGGCCTTGTTGGCCACGGCTGAGACGCGGGCTGCCTTCGTTTTGGGCAGCATCCTCGTCCGCTTCTCCTACGCTGCTGGCTGGCCAGCGGAAATGAAGGCGCTTCTCTTCCAGGGGGCCTCGGGTCCATATTTAATCATATTTCCGTGGCTTTGTGCAGCGTCAGGCCTGCAAGCATACAGACATGTTACGTACAACGTACATAAGAATGCTTATGACTGGACGTCCTGAGTTTAACTATTTGTTCAACACATGTTTCGAGTTGCGAGTTTTGACTTGTGTTTCAGGAAAAGACATGTACAGCAAAGTTGTCCCGGGAATCTTCAGTTTTCGCTGGCGGTTTTGATGTACTGGACGGATTCAGAAGATCATTGGAGTTTCGAATGTCTAAACTCAAATCCGACAAAAAACTCACCGAAGATTGAGGACAGGCAACACTGGAAACGTGGTATCACCGAATTTCAGTGTATCACTGTATAACCCGGAGGAATGAGACTCAATCTTCATGCGGCCAGTGCAAATAGCTAACTGTCACCAACACCCATGTAGACAAGGTGGCCACAAGATGATGTCGAGACTCCCTTTCACAGCCTACATTGATCGGCTTGGACCCCGTCGGCCTTGTGTGGATACCCAGTGGCCCAAGGATGGCGACAGTTGGACATGTTACTGTTTTGGACTCTTTCGCCTGCGATCGTACGGACACCATGGCAAGGCCGCGAGCAGAATGAGACATCGGGCCTTCGGGCGTTGTGAGTGAATAGTGGTGGCATGAATTTCACTCTGACTCTACAATTGCACATTGTGGATCTCAGAGCTTGGCGTGGATCGCCTAACTTGTTGTCATGTAGAAGGCAAGCGAAGCAGATTTTCCGCCTCCACCTTCCGCGTGGCAAGGGGCGTTACACAGGTACACAGCGCAAGCTAGTCCAGAGTGTAAAATTCGACGGTGTTGACCTGCGTGGGCATTCAAGCTTGAGAAAGAGGGGTTTTCTTGTCTGAAATGTTCCGTTTCATGCTACTTAAAACCTCTGCACTTGATGCGCGATATCTTCGAAGCCTTCCTTAGAGGCACAGCCTAGGGCCTGAGGAGCCCCTTATAAGTGGGCGAAACGCGTAGCGGGCGTAGCGGCGTAGCAGTGCCGAGCGAGGAAAGGTATCGTCCGTATCGTCCGCTGCGGGTTGAGTGAATGTGTCAGTTATCGGAGCACTTGAGTCAGACTGCCCCGCGATGTCTCCGCGTCTTCCGCGATAAGAGCCTTCCTCGGTCTAGGACTGCTCGCGAGCATCCTCGAACCTTCGGGACTGATACATGAATCGATGCGTAGAGTGGCGTGGATGTAGAAACATGCACGCCTGTATTACCACTCTTTCGGAATGTGGTCTCTTCGATGTCACATTTGTCCCTTCGCGGCTCGTTACAGGCGCTGAAACTGCTGGTGCCAGAGGAGTACCAGGCACCGCCGTTCACTCCCTCCTCTTTCTCTCTCGTCCTTTCCGCCTGACCCGACTCCCGCATCTCCCGCATCTCCCGCTCCCGCTCCCTCTCGGCTCACAGGGCATGGCGGTGTCCACACTGGGCTTTGCCTCCCGCGGCGGGGCGATCCTTGGTCGTGGCTTCTTCGGAGTCGGGAGCCCGGGGCACGCGCTTCGATCTCTGAAATTGTGGCCGGGGTGTTTGTGCTTGTGCTGCTGGTGGTCGTAGTGACGAGGTTCTTGCTGTTGCCGTTGCTGTTGACCTGTCTTGTGCCGCAGCTTTCAAAATGATGGATTCGGCTTCGGCATTCTTGCATTGCTCGAGTCTGAAAGGCTGCACCGACCTTGCGTAGGCCGTAGGCTTCAAGAGGCTTGGGACTTGGGATGCGAGGTCTTGCTGCGAAGCTTCACCTGGAGGCAGATCGCTTGGCAGGTGCCGCGGGTGTGAGATGTGCGGATGCTCTGGTGCCTCTGCATCTTTGGGTAGGGGGCGCGAGGGGCACATGTGCCGCTTTCTTCAGGCTGCGCAGCTCCTCTTCGTCGCCGGAGGCAATCCTGGCTTTGAAGCCTGCTTTTGCCTTGGTCGGAGAAGGCTTAGCCGCCAGGAATCGCAGTGCTCGTGATGCGAGGGCTCCTCACCTCGGCGAGCAAGGACAGAGAGTCACTGACTGTCACTGTCAGACTGTTGCCCTGGCTTGCCCTGGCAGGCACGCAGCGAAGCCTCCCGAAGCCAAAGTCGAGCGATCGGAGATGTCTTGAAGGACCGCTACTGCAAGAGCGCTTCGTCGAAGCTTGCGTTGCGGCGCATCAGGAGCCCTCGGTGTGGCTGGTGACGGGAGCCTTTGCCTTCCTCTGCCATGTGCAGCACGCCGACGACTTCATGCCCCTCCTGTTCCAGGGGCTTACGAAATCCAAGAGCGTCGTCTTGTCCTGCGTTTATCCAGGCCCCTTGCTCTTAGATCTCTTCCCTTTCTGCCTCCCTGCTCCCTGCCTGGCAATCAAGAAGGCGAGCGCGCAAGTCAGCCAAGGGAGAACTCCAACAGCTAAAAGAGGCAAGCATGGGAGTAATGAAGCATGAGTACGCACCTTAATGGTGAGCTTAAGGCTACGATAGTGTATACAATGGATGCATGTAGCAATGTATGCCAATGTATACATGACCATCAAGCCATCGGCCCAAAGATTCAGAAGAGTCAAGAGGGTTTGCTTCGGGTCTTACTCTTTAACTAAAAGGCTGCGCGCGTGCATGTGTACGACGCAGTGGGCCGGGACCAGAACGAAAAAGGGAAAAGCACTTGTTCACACAAGCCAATGCGGCAACCGTCGCACCACTTTTTCCAGTGACGGCCGTTTCCTGTTGCCTTCCTCATGGCACGATCCGGTCCGAAAATCCCCAGTAAGGAGACGGAAAGGCCCCAGAACCAGAGCAGCAACTTCGGGTTTTCCTGTGCACAGGAGGCGGCATCGCCGCCATGGCCTTGAATGCTTGGAAAGGAAATCTCCTGTGCCTCCGGCTCAAGGCTTCTGGAGGCTTCTGGAGGCTTCTGGCGTGTGATTCTATTCGGAGGCTTCCGATGTCGCTTTCTTTTCGTAAGTACTAAGTACCTGCTGAGGCAGCGGCACCAGCGCGAGCAGCTCTATGTCGCCAGCAGCATTCTGGCTGCTGCACTGCTCGCGGTGCTCCTTTTCATCGCGGCCTGGGCCCAAAGGAAGTCCTCTGAGGCTCTAAGGGCTTTTTGCCATCTGTGCCCAAGGCTGCCGAAGCGGAAGCGGAAGTATCGCCGGGCACGGTGACCGTCGTGGCACTGACGCTGTCGCCCGGCTCACCCTCAGCCGCGGGGTCTCTTTGCCCTGAGCCCGGCTGAGCCCTCTAAGGTTTCTTGTTGCCTTCTGTTGCGCTGGGCTCCCAGTTAAACCCCTTCGCGCAGCTCGCCGGCTTCTCTCTCTCAAAGGCTTTGCCGTACTACCTGGTCCCCAACCTTTTTGCTTTTGACTTGATGGGCACAGAGTGTGCCACTCTGATTGGTTTCTTCGAGCCCCGACCTCGGTAGAGTTCCAGGCGGTGAGGCCGGCGAAGCTCGGCCTGAGCTGAGGTTGACGTCCTTCTGCAGCATGATGCCAGCTTTTCGCTCAGCGTTGTTGTTTGATGACAAGGCCATTTTTTCGGGTCCTGTGCCGAGGCGCACATGGTGCTGCTGCACATAGCCGGGAAGCCAAGTCCCTTCCGAGCCGCCACTCTTGCGACCTGCCATCTGCATGATCCGAGCTCGACAGGGGTAAGAAGCCTATCTAGCCACTTGGTCTACGCTTGCTTCCTGCAAACCGCTGCAATGAATCTGGAGTTGCCAGTCCAGTCACCGAAAGCAGCATTTTGAAGGCGAGAAGGCGAACTGCCCTTAGCAGTGATGAGGAAGAAAAAAATCAGTCCATCACTCCGAAAGCGCGCAAGCTGCCGCAAGCTGCAGCTGCTGCATTGAGGCTGGGACGATGGGGTGGACGTATGCGCTCCTGCAGATGGTGTTGACCATGTGCTGCGCAGCGATTTTCCTGGCCCTTCTAATACCAAAGCTTCTTGGATGGAACGGCACGGGGCAACACGGGGCGGCGTCGTGCTTGGGGTGGGGCGCACGCACCGCACGTACATTGACAGGTGGCGAGCACTTCTGGCCCGCCGCTTACCAGAGCGAGGCGAGCGGCTCGGCTCGCTCGGCTCGGCTGGAGCCGTCGAAGACGGCCATGTTTCCAGCTACACCTCACTGCAAGACAAGCTCAGCTGACGGCTTTAGGACGTCCCGTTCCGTTTGAAGCGGCAGACGCAGCTAATGCTTGCGCTCTCCAAGCCCAATCCCCGCGAGGGCCGAGGCATGCCGAGGCCGAGCCTACGAAATGCGAGAGAAAGAGGAACTGAAGGGTGTGGACGGTGTGGGGTGTGGCTGCGCCGCGCTGCGCCGCGCTGCGCCTCTGTTGCCTCGGAGTGTCTTCGCAGTGCCGGGATCGAGCCTTGGAGCTGCCCGGCGGTAGGGCGCCTAGGGCGCTGTAGCGTAGGGCCAATGGTCGCGGTGGAGCGCCCGGAAGATCCCAGAAGTGGTGCCACTTTCCAGGCGAGGATGTGAGGGAAGGCACTTAGTCGTTCTTCTAAACCCAAAATTCCTCCTACAGTGTATCCACGCAGTTGTCGCACCAACCAAAAGTGGTTCTGTGTGTGTGTGTGTATCAGATGGACAGATAGATAGATACAAAGCGTCGCGCTACGGATTATATATAGAGGTATTTACATATATTCATATATACATATATGATTTATTTTGCTGAAGTGCATCCCACCTTTG